CGAGAGCGCATCCCTCATACCTGATCGGTCAACGCTCAAAAGTTCTATCCTTCTATGCTTCAATTACACTGCACTATTTGCACACGCATATAATTTTCCCAATTATGGAATAAAGCGGGGGCCAGAAGCGAAAAAGGGTGAGTTGCGCTTTAGTTCCAACAAGTCCAGAATTTCTTTGATCAGTTCTTCTTTCAAGACTCGAATCCCCTCGCAGGAGTTCTTTTTTCTCAAATAATGATGAAAATTTCACTTATGTGAAGACGGGATCAGATCAACAGATTAATCCTGTTGGTGAACTGCAGGTTTCCCTTCCTTTCAAATGCGCTCTGTGGTCCTGAAAGATGAAGAACATAAAAGCCATGACTTTTATATGGACTGAGCGCCCAAGTCAATATATAGGCCACATACGAATTCATAACGCCATTACTATTCGAGCCAAGTGCATATTACCTAGCCTCATCGAACCACAGCGCAGCCCTGAAGTGTAAGGGCTTGAGTAGCGAGCGTATACTCATGGGATATCTTTAGGACGTGCATGTAAAACATTTCATCGGCATCTCTATCGGGAGAGTTTGTGGTATACTTGCGTACCCGAAAATCGGAACTCATGCAAAAGTACAAGAAGACAACCTCAGAAGGCAAAAACGTCGAGTGTGTTTTTAATATCGGTGCCTTCCGAAATTCAGGCTAGCTGCCGGTAAACGCAAGCCTCACTCTATTATTAGGTTGATGCATAATTTTTTAAACAAGTTTTGTTTTAAGAAAGATAAGAATACTGAGCAAAAATATGTTTAAATAATTACTCCCGGAACGTGTCCACCACCTACGTCAAGCACTGCTTCCCATTTGCTAGGCAGTGGGCTTCCTAAGGCGGATAAGTTTCGATTATTGGAGGCGATCTGCGCCTTGACGTCGGCCATCGAGTCAATCGTTTCGTCGCAAATTCTGTTAGTGTGCCAATTTTTCAACGAATACGGTAGACGTGATAATCCATAGAAGTTTCTATCGGAGTATTTGGCGGATTTAGGAGCGGATCCCATTCCTTACTTGGCTCTGGATGACTGTTCCATCGTGGAGAAGTTCGTTGAGATCGCGAAATGACTCTACCACCTTCCAACCGTATTCGGGGTAACAGGCGAAAGTGAAGATGATTCTAGACATCTATCTGTAAAAGAAAGCGAGAAGATTACTTTTATAAGAATCACGTATTCAACATTCAAATTATATTAGGAGAAAAGAAGCCGCGAAAAAATCCGCAATAATCACCTAATAGTTACACTACCCGCTACATAAAGTGCTTACAGGTCAAGATTTTAGATGGACTTGAACTTCGACCAGTCGTCTCGCAAACGGCCCCCTGCAGGTGAAGTGATTTCTATGGCCATGCCGACCTTATCCTTTTCGAAAACATTAAAATTTGACTTCCAGTGGTATGATTCATTCCGTAGCGTTACGCGTGACTTTAGTGGTGAGTTCTTTTGCAGTTTGGCAGTTACCAGTCATTCTGAATCATCCTTGCATTGTTGAGCAGAAGCTGGTGCTCCTTACAGAGTGAAAAGAAGTTTCAGCGCATGACGTGTCCAAGACATACACGAGCACTGGGAGATTGTGCCGCTCTGATTGTTTGTCCTTATTCTCGAGCACATCACATTTCTCCAGCTGCTTTTCCTGGACATCTTCAATCATGCCGCATGGAATACCTTAATAACTC